CACTAAAGTGTATCAGATGATGCCAACCAGCTTTGCGTCAGCCCCCCTTCATATAAACCATGTCAGCTCAAGAGATGTTATTTCTTAAGTACAGATCTGGTAAATGTCATAAGAATGGAAACATCTGAAGCTGACATGAGATGTTGCTGCTCTGAAATACATGGGATGGTTGATGCATTACAGTCATGATATTACAAGTATCTTAGGAAAAAGCCAGGATTTGTAAAGAAGCTAGCTATCACACGCAAAAAAAAAAATGCAAGTCTGTTTTTATGAATAAATCCAGCCCAAACTTTATTTTGGAATAATTGAGACCTTTGTTGGGTCCTTCCTGCAGTCTGGGCCCCCACTAAGGAAATGTTCCCCTAAACTGCTGTCCCAAAGAGGATACCAAATACCAGAAAAAAAAGGGGTCAGAAAGACAAAGCAGCAATGAAAATAAACCGTCAGGAGGGTCTATTACCCACTACACTAAAATGGTTCGCCTCTATGACGATTGGAGATTTACTATCACATCTTGTCCCTATGACACCCTGTCACCGGTGAGAAGGAAAAAACAGAGGTTCTAATCCTCATTAAAACATAAAAATAGGTTGGAGTATTGCCAAGCAGTATTAATGCAAAAATGAATCGTAACATTATTATGGGTCTAATTTCGGCTGAAAAATATACCTGGAAATTATTTTAAAACTAGCAAACTTTTGCCCACTTGCGGACAGAAAAAATTTGGTTGTTAGTGATGAAACAGGGGAATTGTTCAGGTGACTTCAGCTGTTTTGTTTTTTTAAATTTTAACTGACCGAATGTGAGCAAGATGTATGCATTACTGGGGGAATGGAGAAAAGGCAAAAACAGTGGACTGGGATGAGAGAGCAGGTGAGGAATCTCCCACTGCTTGCCAGGGGTGTGGAATTCCTATCGCCCGACGCCCGGGTGGAACATGAGCTCACCATAGAGCCCGCAGAGCAGACGAAAAACGTCCGTTTTTCATCTGCTCCGTGTTATCACTGAGACCGTGGCGCTGTGATCACAGCGCCACCTGTCTCAGCTGTCAGGAACTACACAGAACATCTGTTCTGTGTTGGAGGGCAGGTTCCATAAAGAGAACCTGTCACCCAGGTAATATGGGAAAATGGAATTAGGTTATATTTTTGTAAATGACAGGAAATGCTTTCCTGAAAAGAGAAGACAGAGGTTGCAGTTAAATAACAGCGCTGGATAATGAAGAATAACACAGGGTTGATTATACTAGAATGCACATTTTCTGTTGGAAGATTTGCAAGATGGATAACAAAAAAGCCTTACAGAGATGAAAGAAAAAGGTGAAGTGCCCCTGCTCAACAAATTTTTCGTCATTAAGTTAGTATTATTGGTAATAGTATATGCATAAAGAAATGTACCCTGGAATTCTATGAGTTTTGGAATCATGAAGACATAATTTTTATATAAAACAATTAAAGAACGGAGAAAGAAGGCAACATCAGGCTATATTGCGCAGACACATTGGCAAATTAAAAAGGAAAAAAAAAAAACTGGTGCCATCTAAAGATCAGGCCCACTTGGCATTTATTTTTTACCCAGATAGCCCTGCAAATTTACATTTATTGTAATGCAACCCATTATTGAAAGACATTTGTTTTTGAATAAAATACTTTTGCCTTTTTGTCACCCTTCGTTTCATCTTAGCACTTCTGATCTCCTGCAGCCCCTTCCTGTCTACACACATGTGCACCGGCAACTGCTGAACATTGTTCTCAGAACAGGTTTTCTGATGGTAATAACAGTGGAACATGAGCCTCAGCATGGCAGCCTGTGGTTTTCATTTGGAGAGTGTGTGACAAAGTGCCAATTGCAGAGAACAACTTGGAGAGGAAGGGGGAATAAATGGCAACTTAAAGCCTGCACCACTCTTCTAAACTGAGAAAATGGAGCAGATCCTGTTGCTAATTATCAAAAGAGGCACAAGCCTATGCACTGTACCAAGCACGGCATAGAGCTGGAGCTTCTTCCTCTGCACTTAGCTGAGAGTGAGAGGGAAGAGGAAGGCAGTTAACTCTACATTTGTTGGGTTTAACAGCAAGACAAGGCATAAAGACAAGGCATAAAGACAAGGCATAAAAGACAAGGAAAAACACTTTCTCTCCTCATGTGCAGGGTCGGCCAATTTCGGGTGTTCAATGCGCAGGTGGAGACACGCGTGGTCTGCCAGGTTACCAGCGGACAATTCACATCCTGCGCTGCTCTTCTTTTTTTTTAATGCAAAACTGCCACCAGTTTCTATTTCACTCTGAAAGTAAAGTGTCTGAACTAAGGCCTTGAGATCGTATTATTTAATGGCAGCTGAACATTTACAAATATTGATATTTATATAAAATTACATTAACATGGCAAAGCTAATATGAAATTAGTGATTGGGTACGTCTACTTTTACAGATGACCGAAACCAAATACTATTCACACAACTAATTTATTACTATATTTAGAGGTGTATTAGTCAATAATTTTGCCCAATATTCAACAGTGAACATTTACCTTATGTGTCAAGGCAGATTAGTGGAAATTTGCCTAAAATCCATCCAGTGAAAAATTACCATCACTAAAACCTGTAGGTCAAATATTTAAATTTAACATTCATCCAATGTAAAAATGGGTGAATGTTACGAACCCTACAAAAACGTCTGAAATTCCCTTGACTGTTATTTTATTCCTAAATTTGGTCAATGATTCTAAATCAACAGCATTGGGCAATAATGTCATGGTGGACTCCTTTCCCAAACCTTTCTTGGCACATAAAACCTTGCCAAGCGTGGGAACAACCTCAGTGCTTAAAGTGCGTTTGAGCAGTGAGGAAGGGGGACCCGAGATCTCCTTTCCTCTGACCTGCTGCCGATTGATGGACACCGGAATACATCTTCAGAAAACCCTGGAATGTAAATATTAGTTCAAGATTTAAAAAAAAAAAAAAAAGAAGAAGATGTTTGATCTATTTACATTCTTCACTTAACTGCACACACAGTAAACTGGTTAGGGGTCCGAGGGACCCCTAAAACCAGTTCACCAAGGAGGGAGTGACCACCTATGGTCTATGGGGCACAGGTTACTGTTTAGAGCTGAATAAATCAACATATAATCGGATCTGGCTGGAAGAAAAAGTCCAGACACGAGAGAGTAGAGAGAGAGAGAGAGAGAGAGAGAGAGAGAGAGATGGAGAGAGAGGAAGGATAGAGAGAGAGAGAGTAGAGACAGAGAGAGAGAGAGTAGAGACAGAGAGAGAGAGAGTAGAGACAGAGAGAGAGAGTAGAGACAGAGAGAGAGTAGAGACAGAGAGAGAGAGAGAGTAGAGACAGAGAGAGAGAGTAGAGACTTGAGGTAATGTGTAAGACCCTAAAGTTGTGTTTTAAAACAAGATTTGTGAATGTACGCGTTCATTGAAAACCATCACATTATTTGCACAGTCCTTGGTGATCCATTATAGCTGCAGGTAATGTCGCTGGTGTAACTGCTGCAAGAATGTGACACTGTGGCCGATAACAGTAGTAAAACATGTCAAGCTACTTGATAAGGACTTGATGATAAAAGCAAGTGTTTGCAACTCTTAGAAATATAGAATATGTTGCCAGAGCACCATAATTCATCAGATAAAAGCCCAATTTATTGCTGCATTATCACATTAAAACGTAATGTTTTAGAACCACAGAGGACTCCTTCTTCAAAGCATGTGTATGACCTGGAAACAGAGTGCTAGATACATCACCTAGCATTTTTTTAAATGGGATGAAATGAGGCTAGTGAATCAGAGATAAAGCACAGCAGCACCGTTTAAAAGGATCTGGGGATATAGCTGAACTTGGTGGTGCCTATGATGTATTAATAATTAACAGCACTATGACATAGTTTTCTAGGTATGTTTGTGAATGGCCATGAGGTAATTCAATTATCTGCATTTTTATGGAGTGAGCTTATGTTATCAATGTGACTGCTTCTGTTGCAGTGTTTGTTAATCGATTTATATGGACAAAATCCACAAAAAGTATTCTGGACACAAAGGTATTAGTCATTAACTACCTCAGCTTGCACTTGTGTTGCTATACAGATTCACTGGTCATGACTAGTAACAGTGAAGAGTCTGAAATGTTCAACACTAGCTGAATGCAATTAGTATTTACTTAAAGCTGAAACCCAGGCAAACAGCTAAAAACACAGATGAAATACAAATGCAAGAGCTGTGTTCCCTGCCAAAGAATTTGTAGTTGTCCATCTAGGTCCTGAGCTTTCAGCTCTGCCACACAGCATAGTTCTACATGTCATGGGAAGGGACCTGATCTTTGACTTACAGGTCTCCTTCCTACCTCCACCCACGGACAGAAACAGCAGTATACTAATAAGCCCATCTCTATCCAACTGTTGGATAGACAATGAGAAAGCACTGCTAAAAATTCCGTATGCACAGCTTTACACCACAATACAGTCCCGGGTGCAGACCAAACTGGCTCACTGTTGCCATTGCACTCAATGGATATTCTCAAATCATGAATATTTATTGTAAAGATCTGTAACACATTGTATAGTATCCCACCATGCGTGCCAAACCTATCACGCGTTTCACCTTCACGGCTTAAATCACCCTTATATGGCACGCGTGGAGGGATACTATACAATGTGTTACAGATCTTCACAATACCTGTATTGTTCAGGATGTTCTAACCCCCCTCCACTGCATCATACCGATATGTTTTTCTCCTCTGAAGCTTTATTTTTCATTTTGGGATATCTAATAAATGAATGCACAACTGTAGATCATCAATAGTAGTTTGTTCCTTTCACGTTATAAACCTTGGGAAAAGGATCAGACCCATGAGGAATAGATAGATATGAGGAACATCAGCATCAATCATCATGACACTACTGCATTGTCACTGTTCCATTCATTTACATGTACACTTGGCAGACATTTCAGGATTATACATGCGGTTAGTTTTCTAGAGTACACAAAACTTTACCTAGTCTGCTTCCATTCCTGGGCATTGCCATGAATGAGCCAAGGCTTCCACCTATAACACTGTGGGGTCTTCTCAGTGGTGGCTTCTTGAAGGATCCTGTGTATTGATGGAGGAAGGAGTGCATACTATGAGATGTTGGAGGCCTGCCATTCTTCACAATAGGTTCTAAAAATCCCAAAGGCCAACACAGATCCATGCCATCAGAAAAGGAAAGATTGTAAAATAGGAAAAGACCCAAGGAGAGAAAAAAGGAAGAAAAAAAGAAGAATGGAATTACTATACACACCACCTTATAATGATCAAGATAGAAACAGTTAAATCAATCACCGTCAATTTTAAGATTAGTTGTTGATCCATATTTCAATACAAAGTAAGGTTCAGCAGATTTAAATCAGAGGTTCTCACTCAAGTGATCACAGGTGCTTCATCGCCCATAGTCAATGTCTAAAGCATTAATTTATATTTTAAATTACTTTGAGACTGGCGAAAAATTGGAGTACTAATGTTTATAAAATGTTCAGTAACAGGCATGAGAATTTGGATTTTCAGTACTATAAAGCTGTGACCCACAAGTTAAAAACCTCTGCTTTAGGTGGTGTTACAAATCCCTCCACCAAATCACACTTTAATCACATTAACCAACACATTTTGGACTTATTTGTAAATTATTTCATGTCCAAAAGATTGTAGGAAATGCTTGCAGAACATATCTGAAAAGCCACATTACCCTCAAGTCAATCAAAAGACTGGTTTATAACATGTACAATGACTGTACATGGGGGCAATCCAGAGCAAAACAACCCACTTTTAGTATTTTAGAACAATTTAAAATAAAAGGTTTTTTTGATTTGTCTTACCAGGCAATACACTTTGCATATTTCTCTCTGGCTTAGGGTTTGTGTCGTTGGCATCAGTCTGACAAGCTTTTGAGATCATTCAGAATTAATTGACTGATACATTTGACCTGCAGCTGACCTTCAGACCTACAATTGACCTGTTACAAGCAGATTTGGGATTTCAAGGTACTTAGTTCTTTAAGTTATAACGGGACAATTATTCCTCATTTTTAAAGGACTCCTTAATGACTGGTAGGAGTACCAAGCGACTGGCTGAAGGCTACGGTAGTTCCAATATTTAAAAAGGGGGTCCAGATGCAATCCGGGGAACTACAGACCAGTTAGTCTTACATCGGTAGTTTGCAAACTGTTAGAGGGTATGATCAAGGACCACTTAGTAGAATTTGTTCAGGATAATGGCATAGTAAATGACAACCAGCATGGATTTAGGAAAGACCGCTCCTGTCAGACTAACCTGATAACTTTTACGAAGGGGTAAGTAGAGATTTGGATGGAAGGCGGCCGGTGGATGTAGTATATTTGGATTTTTCAAAAGCATTTGACACAGTGCCACACAAAACGTTTACTACACAAACTAAGGTCTATGGGCATAGATGAAATGGTGTGTACATGGATAGAAAACTGGCTAGAGGAACGTGTACAGAGAGTATCGATAAATGACACCTTTTTGGATTGGGCTAGGGCAGTGGTGGCGAACCTTGGCACTCCAGCTGTTTTGAAACTACAAGTCCCATGAGGCATTGCAAGGCTCAGACAGCCACAGACATAACTCCCAGAAGCAGGTGCATGTTGGGATTTGTAGTTTTGGAACAGCTGGAGTGCCAAGGTTCGCCACCACTGGGCTATGGCCATGAGTGGCGTGCCTCAGGGTTCTGTGCTAGGGCCCATGCTATTCAACCCGTTTATTAATGATATTGGGGAGGGGGGTAAATAGCCATGTTTGTGTTTGCCGATGATGCCAAAATTTGGAGGGTAATAGACACGGACTTGGACATTATAACACTACAGGAGGATCTGGATAAAATAGGGGAGTGGGCAACTACATGGCAGATGAGGTTTAATGTCGATAAATGTAAAGTAATGCCCTTTGGGGTTAAAAATAAGAAAGCGAATTACACATTAATGGGAACTCCATTGTGGAAGTCAGACATGGAAAAATATTTGGGGATCATTGTAGACCACAGGCTGAATAGCTTGCAGTGTCAGGCTGTGGTAAACAAAGCAAGTAGGGTCCTGTCCTGTATTAAGAAGGGAATGTATTGCAGGGATAAGTCTATAATTGGGCCACTTTATAGATCACTGGTTCGGCCTCATCTGGAGTATGCGGCCCAGTTTTGGGCACCAGTCCACAGAAAGGATGTCCTTGAGCTGAAAAGAGTCCAGAGGAGGGCAACCAAACTCACTAAAGGCAGGGATGGACAAACTCCAGCCCTCCAGCTGTGGTAAAACTACAAATCCCATGAAGCAGCTCTCTCCGGGAGTCATGTCTGCAAAGCCTCATGGGATTTGTAGTTCCACCACAGCTGGAGGGCCGCAGTTTGGCCATCCCTGCACTAAGGGGATGGGGGACCAAAGCTATGAGAAAAGGCTACTAACTGTAAACATGTTCACGTTGGAAGTAAGCAGATTAAGGGGGGTGACATGATTTTCATGTACAAAATGTTTAATGGTGATAGCAACATTAGCAGCAAACTTTTTTTCAATTAACTCCATGACAAGAACGAGGGGCCACCACCTAAAATTGGTGGAGAAAAAAATTTCAGCACAAGGGGCAAAGGGGGTTCTTCTCAGAGCGGTTAGGGTCTGGAACTCGCTGCCACATGGTTATTTCAGCTAAGAGTGTAGAATCATTCAAGAAGCGCTTGGACGATTTCCTCCAGGACCATAATATACAGGGGTACAAGTACTCTTAGGAAGGTGATCACATGCGGACATATACATTCACACACATTAGTAGAACCATATACATGCATTCAATAGGTTGGACTTGATGGACTTATGTCTTTATTCAACCTCAAATACTATGTAACTATGTAAATAGACTTGTATAGGGATGCATTACCCATCTGACTAACAAAAGCCCAATGACACGGGCCATTAGAGTGTTAATTAGTGGTACTCCAACCAAAACCATTTTTAATATTGGTTCTGGACAGAGCAAGGAAGAGTTAGAAACTGTTGAATTTTTGTTGGTGCCAGAGGTCTTCTTTAGCCTCCTAGGGGGTTAACCTCAAGTTTATTCGGCCTCAGAATTCAAACAGTTTACCATAAGCATCACTTGCAATTTTTACATACTACCCTGAGTCCGAGAAACACATTGCAGGATGGCACAGGGGAGGGGGGATCAGCGAGCATCTATTCACAGGTCCTCCCACTTTTGCAAGTGTGCAGATGCCATACTCTGGCTGGTCAGGAATATAAGCAAATTATGTACTGTCAGTGCTTTGCTTGGAAGTAGTGCAGGGTGACATCAAGGGTCTAGTTGACTCCTGATATCTCCATAAAGAGGAGCCGTCAGTCTCCTTGCGATAGTGAAAATAAAAAATAAAATTAACAAGATAAATAAAATCTACCCCGCCTCCCCACACATGCATGCATGTACGCACATAGGGACATTCTTAGCTAAACCATAATCGTGTAACACATACTGGGTATTGTCCTGCATGCCAGAGTGAGAAATAATTCTAGGACCATTATATACATTAATCTCTCAACTGACGAGCTGTAAATGTTATTAAAAGGGGCAACTAATTGCATATTACAATTTCTTACTGTTTGCTTGACATATTTGGTATATATTTATTCATCGTTTTCTCTTTTAAAATGTTGCAAAAAAATTTAAATGAAAATCAATCTAAGTATTTATTTTTTTACTGAAAATACAGGTTTGAGAAACAGTGGTGCAAATATCACGCAACACAACCATTTGCAACTACACTACCTTTTATTCTATGCTTTCAGAAAATATAAAATATTTTGTGGCTTTTAAAGTGACATTGAAGTCAAAAAATGTTTTTCCTCCCATGTTAATGTTAGCACTTACCTTAAATGATGTCTCTTAAGCTGATCTTCTTTCCTGATGTTTTCATCTGTCCCTCCAGCGGTGCGGCGGTTCTCCGATCCAGCGCTGACTCCTGTCCCTGCAGGCACTTGCGATCCCGGGCGGGTGCACGCGTCCATAGACTTACCTTGCGTCTCCGCTAGTCTCCTGGCCGAGAATCCGAAATGCGCATGCGCCCGCCCCAAGATACTTTGCGGTCCTTTGAGCAGTTTCAGATTCTCGGGCGGGAGTGCGCAACGATAACGAGGTAAGTTTAAACCGTAAACTGTTAAAGGTTTTTTTCTTTTAAAACTTTTTGCATATATCTACTGCTTGCAAGCAGTAGATATAGGCAGAAAAAAAAACGGAGGGTTTCGAACCACTTTAACCCCTTCATGACTGAGTGTTTTTTGAGTCTCTGTTCGTAAATGACTGAAGCACTTTTTGCATTTTTGCTATGTGTTTCTTTGACAACAATTTCCTGCTTTCTTATTAAGTGTACCCATACATATGATATATCGTTTTTTAGAGAACAGATAGAACTATATAGTTATAAAACAAATATGCGATTAACACTCATGTTAAAGTCCAGACTCCAGAACACAGTGTATAGTGTGGCACAGATATATCCAATTCTGTATAACTGGCTTTATATTAATTTTTTTTATAATGTAAAGCCAGGTATGCAGAATTGGATATAGCTGTGTCACACTATCCAATGTTCTGGTCTGGAGTTTGGACATGTGCTCATCTATTTTCCCCACTAGGGGGATACAAGCCTAAGTTAGCAATATCTACACAGTCTTTATTTTTAAATATTATATGTAGTTAAACAGCATTTTTGTGCCCAGCCCCCCTGCAGTGCGGCAGTACTAATCTGCTGTGTCTTGTTTAATTGAAGACGGTGGAGGTCCTGTGTGCGGCGGTTTCGGGTCCCTGAAGATGGCGGACGCAGCACAGGTACTCGCTTTTTGTATTGGAGTATTTGCACGAGTACAACGGGGGGGAAAAAATCTTCAATGGGGACATGCACAAATGTTGGTGGAGGCTCTGGCTTTCATCTAATCTACCAACAAGTTTTTTTATTGCTGTCCCTGTTGGAGATCTTCCCTGCCCTCTTGTCTTGATGATAATGTTGTCAGTAATATACACTGAGTGGCCAGATTATTATGACCACCCCACCAGTACTTCGTTGGGCTACCTTTTGCCTTCAGTACTGTGGTGATTCTTCTTGGCAATGACTCCACGAGATGTTGAAAGGTGATGCG